TAGTCGATGTGAGACCTACCCGGAACCCAGTGAAGTTTGGATCCAGGTTTGGTTTCTTGTTCCTGTTATCGACAGTACAGTATCTTTTTTAGCTTTATACTTCATAGTTTCTTTATACTTTACACCGGGGGTGGGCAATCTTATCCGCAAAGGGCCGCTGTGTATGCAGGTTTTCGCTGCAACTCCCTAATTAGATTACTAATTAGAGGACTGATTGGCTGAAGAGTCCTCACACCTGGGTTTGAACAGCTGACCTTCAGGTTATCCCAAAAACCTGCATACGCACCGGCCCTTTGCAGATAAGATTGCCCGCCCCTGCATTACACTAAGTATACCTTAGTTACGAAAGGATTAAATAAACACTCGCTAACTAGCGGCTGATCTTAAGTGCAAGATAACAGAGTACTTAGCGTTACGAAGCTTTGGAGAAACGCACTCCTGGGTAGCATTTTGGCTTAACTCCTGCATTGTGGGTTAGATTTCCACCCCCAGTTGACAGCATGAGTTTTATACATTTTCCCCATTAAACTCCTCCCGCAGTCCAAAAACATCAAGTTAGGTGCATCACAACCATGTGCTAGATTAAAGATTATGGCAATGAAATATGGACATAACCTGTTATTATCATAAAACATGTAACTGCAATGATAATGAATGGTTTGTTTTTTTATACCAAACTAATTCCTAATTTCACCTGGGTGGCTGTTTAAACTACAGTAAGTGTGCTATTTGTTTGCCGTTGACATTTTCGAAACATGTGTTTTGCCTTTCGTTTTTACGGAATGTAACGTCATCTTCTGTTTTGAATCACAAATCGTGTTTTGTTTAGCATGTCTGTTTAGCTCGATTTCTCTCTTTTGCTCCTCCCATTCCTCGTCTACGTCCTCCAAGGCGATGCCTTTGAGATGGGCCTGCTTGCGGTACGCTCTGCACTCCTCTTCTGCTCTGCAACGAACCCAAACTGCGCAGTCACCGTAAAACATACATGAAAACCTGTCTTAACGAAAAGAAAGAATAGGTACATTCAAACAGAACTTTCATACGAAGCATGAAAGGTCGCAGTATTCCCTCACGTTTTAAGGAATTCCACACAATCCTTGTGTCCGTAAATTTGCGCGATCCTCATGGGTCTGTCTCCGGAGCAGTCCTCCGTGTCGATGGGGGCGTGTGTGGAGTGCAGCAGCCGGAGCACACCCAGCCTCCCTGACTCTGCGGCGAAGTGGGTGGGGGTCCAGCCTGAAGCAGTCCTCAGGCAGGGGCTTGCACCGTGCTCTAACAGGATCCTTACTGTGTCTGCCTGTCCTGCCCGAGAAGAGAACACAAGTTCAATTCGATTCAATTTTATTTGGACAGGAGCAAGCCAAAAGCGACTGTGGCAAGGAAAAACTCCCTATAGGAAGAAACCTTGGGAGGAAACGGATTCAAAGGGGGGGGCCCTACCTCCAGGGGGCGGCATAGGGAGTCAAATTAACAAGATGGCAAAGTTCTAATTTACAGAGTCCAAATTTTAAGATTTGAGTCTTAATGCGGAGGACAGGTAGGTGCTGCTTCTGATGAACCCATTTGTTTCATACACACATAGTCTTAATATGTTGTTGGTTTTCATGTGTCTAAATGATTTACATGGTTTACAAATACCTCTCTTTTCTTTGACCCTTTACTGGATTCTTATGTTGTAGTTCTGAGTCTTCTAGCTGCCCCTGAGACTGAAGCGTTACCCTTTGTTTCCGCTGAGAGATGTGCCTTGAGACTCATTTCCCTTTGCATAAAAGTTATCTTAGGTTGGCGTTCAGGGTTCGACTTATGAGATTCGGATTGAGTTCTAAGTTCTAATGAGTTCGAGTACTGAGGTACCACTGTATATCCTAGTTCTAATTCTAATATTGTCAGATATGGACAAAAAAAACAGACCGATCGTCTATATTTTCCGTTTGTTTAAACTTCGCTGGCTGGACAATCATCCACAACGAAAGGGAATGCCTGTATTCCACTTACAAACAAACCATATTGTTATGCAACCAAAAATGTTGGTTAAAACGAAAATAAGTTTTTATCTTTGTTTTCCTTAAAAACTGTATGCAGCCAGAAATAAATGGATATTCGGACCCATTCTACAGATGTTACCGAGTGACGGCAGGCAGCAAATTTCGGGGGTCATTTTATTACGTGGGTGCGTCCCACGCTTGCATTGCTTCTACAAAATCAACTGTGAATATTCTAGTAAGAAATAAACCAAACATGCGTACCTTTTGCGGCTGCCCAGTGGAGTGGCGTCCTGTAATCCCAGTCGACGTCTTTCTGGTTGGGGTTGCATCTCTTACTCTTTACTATTTCTTCCACCAGATCGTAGTCCTCAGATGCGACAGCCTGGTGCAACTCCGTCATCGTTGTCATCGCACAAACCTGAAACCATTGGTTGCAACTTATATTTGTGAAAGATGTTCAAGAAAGTGAAACGTGAATATTTAACACAAAGAAAAATGCATAGACTATAGGCAGGCCTTGAATCCGCAGCGTCGTTGATATAGTTATTAACCAGAGGATAATACACACCTTTCTTTAATGTTATAGGCTACCTCGCCAGTCGTTTTCAGGAAAGTACGCTTCATCTCCATACAATAGCCATGGAAACATAAACATCCGGCTGAACTGCGGAAACCGGCGTGATTCGGTGCTTATGATCAATTAAAGACACTTTGGGGCTAAAACGCGAACTGCCGCAATCTAATTCTGCGTTTTTTGTTGGCTCTTAGGCTATTGAATCAGATTCAAATCAACGATGAAAAGACAAATGTTGTCGCTGCTTGTTACGTAGCTGTATAACAATGGTGGCAACTGGCAAGGGAGACAAAACTATACATTTCTTTCCTAATGAGTAGGCCTATATTGTGGGGGAAAAAATAAATGGACAAGTCTATCAACCGCCTCGTATCGCCTGTGTAAAATGACTTGTGTGCAGTGTTTTTAAAATAGAAGCTCAGCGAGAACCATCAAACTAATTATCGGACAACAATTGTACGCAGTAAGGTGCAAAATACAGAAGAGTATTCCAAAGACGACGAGAAGTCACCCTACGTACTTTTAATTTAACTGTTAACCGGAACTATTAATTTTAAAGGACTGCTTATAGAAGGGCACCCATAACTTTCTCTCAAACCTCACACTTAAGAAATAAGGAACGAGAGGAGGCCATTCGGCCCATCAAGCTCGTTTGGGGAGAACTTAACTAATAGCTCAGAGTTGTTAAAATCTTATCTAGCTCTGATTTAAAGGAACCCAGGGTTTTAGCTTCTGCTACACTAGCAGGAAGACTATTCCATACTCTAATTACAGGCTGTGTAAAGAAGTGCTTCCTCAAATTTGTTTTAAAATGTTCTCCCCATAGCCTATGGGCCGAGCAAACAGAAAATAAAGCCATTTGTAGCTACATTTGTCTCCTTAAAAGGGCACTTAGTACTATAATGCATTAATAAAATTGTCAGTTTGCTTCATTGACTGTTTCATTTTACTTTATAGGTCTAAATCCGGTGTTTTGCGGATTTAACTGGTAATTAAACGGGTAACAGCCTTTTTAAAAATCGGTGATCTTACTAAACGACGCTAACCGCTTGTTACAGACGCGGAACGTGGCGCCACACAGTGGTGTACGTGGGTAATTAAAAAAAAAAAAGCAGCAGCACTGCGTAGTACGGCAGGATTTTCTTGACAAAATCCACAGCATCCCAGGGTAGACTTTGAGAGTATTTTTAATTAATTTATTTTTTTAACATGGAGGTGATATGAAGTGGTGGTATTTATGTATTAATTATCATCAAGTCAAACCGATTTTTTTCTGATTAATATTTTTCGTCTGGATGGACAGATGTTTAACTTAATTACAGTCACAAAAACACTGGCCAATCAGAAACTTTCATGCGCCATTCAAACGCTTTGTCCTTCAGTTCAGTTTACTGTTGTTTGTCAGTTATGTAAACTTACTTTATAAACCGACTGACTGCTAGGTATTTTGTCTGTATCTACATTAGCTTTTCCTAATCTGTAACAAAAGCTAGCATATAATGCTGTGCTAGACTGTATTATCAGCAAATATAACAAATAAATCTCAGTACAAAAATATGTTAATGTGTTATTTATGCAGTATCGCGTTCCTAATTTGTTAGGTTATATTATAGTGACTTAGTAATCAGGTGTGACATGGTGGTTCATTGCGTAGGTCAGCTCCTGTGTTGGGGGTCCTGTGTGTGTGGGGGGGGGGGGGAGGTTGCATAGATCACATTTGAGGACCAAATTGTCCCCAAGGTGTAGTAAAGCCTGAAATTTCCCTACTTTTGGGGACATCTTTTGAGGTCCCCATTTGGATAGTCTCAGTTTTATAAAAAAAAAAAAATATGTGAATGCAATCAAAAAGTAATAATGCCAAAAGTCT